TTTATTATCCCCTATTTCGTTGTTTGTCTACACCTATGAAATGCAGTAGTTTTTGATATATCTGTGTATTGTCAGTCTTGTTTTGATGTAAGGCCTTTAGACAGTGATAAGTGTTGATTTGTTAAGGGTTGAGAAGGCACTATTACATCATCATGTTTCTTGCCAAGATGGATGTGACTCTCGTTTAGCATGGAGCAACTTTAAATGTATACACAAGGCTCTTTTGAAGCTACAAGAATGGTTATGGCATTTGTTTGACAAAGAACAAATAATGCAGAAGAATTGGGTTATTATTCATGAGTTTTTAAATATATTCTCTAAACACTTTTCAGATGAGAGACTGGATGTCAGTATTACAACCTGTATGAATATAAGAGGGGTGAGCTACAACAAATTTTGTAATGAAGATGCAGCTTTTTTGAAGACTTGCTTGATATAAGGGTGCATGTATTTGTATTACTAATTTAGAGCACACTATTAAGTACTATGCACTTGACAAGTAGTTGGTTGGGAACTTAGTTTAGATGTTTAAGGTAGAAAATGTATGTATGGAACAGAAACAGACTTGAATAACATGTTCTTAAAGGTCATGTTGAAACATATTGAGTTAATGATTCTTTCTAAATTTTTCTTGCAATATAGTTTCTTTAAAAATTAGTCCTTGAAATGCTTGCCATTAAAGTTGAGCATGAGAGTAATAAATCTAAGGATATTGTTGTGTTATGTCAAAACCAAGTCGTTGAAGAATCTAGTTGTTGAAGAATTTGATCTTATTTTGAAGTTGAATTTACAACCCAAAAATAATGTATAAGTTGTTTAGAAACATCTTTTTGGCAATCTTGAATAATCTAAGTAAGCTTTCATTTATACTAAGTAAATCTTATCAACAATAGAATAATCTTAGAAATATGTTATCACATTTTAATCAACTCCAAATAAACCTTAAATAATTCTTAAAAAACCTTGATTAAATACTAAAGAATTATAATCAATCTTGAAGAAAATTTAAAGAAATTATTAAAAAAAACCTTTGAAATTTCCTAAATAAGCCTTAAAGAAATCATAAGAAACCAAATTCATAGCCAATTCTAAAATATCTTAAATTAGTTTTAATTGAATCCTAATTAAATCTTAAATAAATTTCAAGAAATCTTAATTAAATTTTAACAAACCTTAGTCAAACCCTAGCCAAATCTTAAGTATATCTTAAAAAATCCATAGACAATTCTAAATAAATTTTATAAGAGATTTAATACTTTAATATTTATTAAATTTACCATTGATCTTGATTCAAGGTTTTTACACTTTTTAATCTATAAGTTCAAAACAAGTACACAAAATGTAAATAGAACTAGCTTTATAGATTGGAAGAAAAAGCTCCTAATCTACTAAGATATTGTCTATCTTCTTTTCCCAATCTTAATATCAATCTTCTAATATCAACAACTCCTTCATGCATTATTTACTTCCTTTCCCAATCTTAATATCAATCTTCTAATATCAACAACTCCTTCATGCATTATTTACTTCCTTTCCCAATCTTAATATCAAACTTCTAATATCAACAACTCCTTCATGCATTGTTTACTTGCTTAAAATCATGGAACTTTCATTGACCTTCAAAATCCAATTTCCAAGATCCTAACCTACTTTAATTTCAATAAAATTTTATTAAATTCTTCAATTAAGCTCAAATTGACCTTACACATCCAAAACGATGATATTTACAAATCCACAAATTTTTACACATAGATTTGCTACAAAACTCACATCACTCACCAAAATATATTCTATTTTTTTATTTGACAAAATCCATAGTCACTTAAAACAATCCTAACTTTGCAAAGTTCTCACAATCATTATGTATTGAAATCCTTTAAAATCAATATTTAAAAATTATATCACATCTACTTTCGAATTTTTCTCTTTGATCAACAAAAAATTCCCACATTTCTTGTAGGTGTGCACTTTTGTGCCTTAAGGTGGTTTCAACCATGATTTATAATCAATCTTTTGTGTGTATCAATTTAGCATTTTTTAGGTAATTTTTGCTAAAAGCTACTTTTATCTAAAGTTTTTTATAATTTTATTTTTTCTAACCTACTTTTTTTGTCATGTTTGTGGCTTTTAAAATTAATAAAATTCATTCTTATAAAAAATAATATTCACAATAAATTATTTTTACTTCCTTCTTAACTTTCATGTATATTTTTTTAAAGTAATTTTCTACTATATTTTTAATTAAATTCTTTTATAATTTAATCATTTTTTTCTCATTTATTCAGTAGATATGTCACAATACAAAAATGCATATTCATTTTTTTTTAATAGTTGTTAAAGAGTATAATAAATATCAAGATCTAAAAAATTACTATTATCATTTAATAAAATATTGACAATATTAAAACCTATTTTATTATAATAAATAGAATTATATTCTATATTAATTTTTTTCAAGGATTCTATTCTTATGAAACAATTGAATACTTTGTATTTGTGTTATATGCCAAGCACATCATTTTAAAAGACTTTAAGTCAAATTTGGTTGAATAATAAAATATTATAAAATAATAAAATAAAATAAGATAAGATTTTAATAAATAAATATGGATATAACTATGCATTTTATGTTTATAGGATTTTTTTTTTTTTTTTTTTTTGATTTTGATATTTCATATTAGACATTGACTTGATAAAAAAAATTGCCTAAAAATCTATTAAAAAATAAAAATGAATAATAAGTAATAATACTGGTAGGTAAATCCAGTATTTGTTTTTATGAAGATCATACATTTAATTTTTTTTCTTTAGCACCAATATAAGAGTAAATTTATAGTCATATAAATATGTGAGGATCTATAAATAAAAGAAATGTTTCCAATAAATTTTATACTATTTAGGATATTAATTGAAATGTTAGTCATACTTGACTTAAATGCTAATATGTTGAAAAGGGAGTTTTCTCAAGTAAATATGGTGTGCAATTAAAAAGAAGACAACATTAAGAGCTTCTAATAAAGACAAGTCAATGAAAATGAAAGATACAAAAAAAAACGTTTATTTTAAAGATGTATCTAATATACTTTGTATTTATAGTATATACACAAATAAATAAAAGTAAATTAATATTTATTTTATACTAAAATTTCAAACCAAATTTTATATTATTATGTATTTAAGCTATTATAATTAATAATATTATATTATATAGCAATCAAATCATTGTAAAGTAAGAGGAGGCTTATCAATTTTAATATATATATAAAAAAAAAAACTTGATTATCATCCAAGATATTATCAACTTTGTGTCCAAGAAGTCATTTGACTTTAATAAGTATTGTTGTAAGCAGGTAAGTCAAAGCAATGTTGGCTCAAATCCAACAAGTTTGATGGGCATAAAATCCAAAAGCCACAGCAATTGCAAAGGTTGGAGGACCAAGGAGTTGGTGAATATATTGACTAGACTCTAAAACATATATTTGAATATCATCCAATAGATGTACTTTCTCAAAAATATACCCAAGTGGAGTGGTTTGAAGCATAAATGACCATTGTATAAGTTGCATCCAATTTGTAAATAAATTAAATTGAAGGTTATTCAAACTTCAACTTACTCTAACTCATGATGGACTTTTGCATGGCCATTTAATATTGAATTTGTTTATAGCTTTGCTTAAATCCTTTGAACTTAATGAACATGTTTTCTTCAAATTCTTTCTTTCAATTGCCCAATTTAATAGCAAATTTTCCTTAGCCTTTTTTCTTTTTTCTTTTTCTGCTGGTCACCCCTATCAAAAGGCAAGCAACAATTTGTCTATATCCACCCTAGTTTTTGACATGCTTCGACCATTACTTATTTCTTCATCAATATCTTAATCAAACCTTCATCAAATCACCATGTAATTAGGTAGCCTTAACATGTTACATGATTGAATTATATCAAGTGGTGACACAATTGATGAAACATATTAATATCTTTCAAAACTCACTATTGCAAGCAAAAATGTCACTCGTGAGAATTGTATTTTTTAGATTAATAATTCTGCATGAGATCTAAGGAGTACCTTTTAAGAATAAGGTATGCTACAGTTCAAAAGCATCATTGAAGTCGCTTGGTGAAGTTTCGTTTTTTACAGAAGTCTATGCCTTTGAATACAAGTAAAAAAAAGGGCCATGAAATGAAATTTATAACAAGTTTAGTTATATCTATTCATATCTTGATCCAAACAATAATAAGAAATATATAATCTTGAATTTTCAGATTGATATTTTTGGCAGTTTCCAATACAACTTTTGATTTTTTTTAAAAAAACGGCTTCCCTAAGACGGTCCATACAGAAATTGCAAGAAACAGTTTTGTTCATACCATGTAAAAATATATATATTTTACCTCATTTTTTCCTCTAAAAACCTTTGGACTTATTTTTTAAAGTAAAATGTCACTTACAGTGACATTGTCAATTTCCACAATTCAAAACATTTGAAAGGTAAGCCTCTTACATTGTCTCCTAAAAGAAATGTACCCTAAATAATGGATGAAATTTTAGTTTAGTTTTTAACCGAAAATCAGGATGTGGTAGAACTCATATCCACTTTCAAGCGCACTGGAGAATACACTGGCTTTGGACAACTCCATGATCCCGACAGACAATGCGAAAAATTACGAACCATTGTTCAAGATTTTAAAACTTTGGCATGTGATCCAGTTCATTAAACCATGCTCTGTTTTGCTGTGACTTCCAGTTTTTGTAACGACGACGTTAGTCTGCATGCTCTAAGGTTAAGTCTGGTGATCGACCATGGGTGCTATCACAACAAGGTAAACAGCTGCACTGGCTGCAAACGCAGTTCCATCATAAGGTTCACTTCCAAATCTTAATTTTACTCCAAATACATACTCCATTCTTGCCGTAGTACTTTTAACAACGAGAGTATTCAACCACGATTAGTTCTCCAATGTAACAGGCACAAGTGCAAACACGTAGTCTGACCCTGCAATGTGGAGGCTTCAGCATACATCCTTCTTCAAAGAAATAATAGACAACTGCAATTCCGCTGCTGCGAGACTGATTTTTCTGGAAATTGCTCTATAATCGTATTGACGAAATTCCCAATTGTAACCTGCGATGGTGAATAAGCCAACTGGTATACAATGAAACATACAACAGGTCATCTGCCCTTCAGAATAGTGGACATTCTCCTGAACGACCAAAATTGTTGTCCAAAAGGTCACTATCCAGCACGAACTATGATTCAAGACTACATGCTAAGCAAAACTCTAGGGGCATACAACTCAGTGAAGGTTTCTGAATAACCAGATCCTGTTAACTCCGCTAAATATCTTGCATCCTATCTGCTTTAGATCTGGATCTAAACAAATGAGCTTTCTCCTCCCTCAAATCAACAATTCAACGCGAGGCAAGGAGGATATGCCGATAAATCCTCACTTGGACAGACTGAAACCATACCCAAGCTGTGGTATGCAATAAAGAATGATATGGTTTCTGTCCTATGTCGGGAATTCAAATCCTGAGTCCGCATGTGATAGACTAACTATGAAAGAATCAGATCGTCCAAATAATGACGACTTAAGAGGAAAAAAAACTAGTTCCGTGACAAGGTTACTGATACATTGGTGAAAGGAGTCTACACCCGTGCCATCACTTGCGGAACACTTCCCGATGAAAGGAAGGACAAAAACCCTCCGCTCGCCTCTTGTTCGTCAAGGAAAAGGTCATCAGGAACGCGGTACGCACCATGAGCGAAACAAATAGCAGCGCCAATGATGAGAGCAGAAATCAGAATAGATCCAACATTGGTCATGAAGACCATAATAACGGTGAACACACTCATGCCGAGAAAGACCTCCCTTTCAGTGAAGGTTCGTCCAAATGCGACGAGTGGCTCAGATCGAACAAGGTAGAGGTAAGTCCATCCAGCTAACAGGGCGGCAAGGAAGAACAGTGATCCCGGGTGTAAGACCAAGCTCAATGCAACGGCACCCACCAAAACGAGCGAGTAATTGATACGGAAGTAGTACCAATTTTTGCGCGCCCGCGTAACAGCCTCGCTGAACGACTCAGGCTTCGCCAACTGTGACCGGTCAGCCATTTCCGCCCACGGCCGCTTCTGCGCAAGCGCTAGATTGAATGCATCCTGAGACTTTCCATACAGCAACCAGAACGTAGCTTGCTGCGGCGTGACTCCCGCAGCTGCTCCTGGTTGAGTGACAGGTAACACCGGAGGCTGGTTCGCAGTCGCCATGTCCAAACTCTGAAGCCAAAGCCCTTGCAGCACCACAACAGAAAACTCCCAAGCTCCGACGACCACAACTTCGTCTACCGTGCGCCACACCAATGGAAAAATTGAAAAAAAAACAAACAAAACAAAAAAAACAAAAACAAAAACAAAAAGACGAGCAAAATCACTCAGGATTTCAAATCTTGGACCTAAAACATCATCTGACTCTGCCCGTTCAAATCTTCACCAGCGCCACTCAAACCCCAAGCGTACTACAAACAAAACTCTTCTACACAATCCACTGACGCATAAAAATGCGCTCAAATTTTGAAGACAAAACTCGCTCACAAATACGCGAGCAATACCAATGCAGATCTGGCACAAAATCTGCAGCACAAAGCAAAAACGCGCAGCGGACGTTGAACACACACGTCGGCGAATGCGAAATGAGACCTTCCTAGCTATCGCGCAAGATCCTTGAGAGAGTAGGGTTGTGGAGCTGGCAGAACTGCGTGCACTGGTAACAGTTCGGGAACGTCACAGAGAACGGACTGGGAACTCAACAGGGAACAGAATGTTCCCAACTTTGTTTTCATTATTGGTCGAAGAAGCGGGCGACGTTCGTGGAACTGATTCGTAGTTCGGTGCATAATTCGTTCTTTTTTTTGGACTGAAATTATTGTCGTCGGGCAGCTGGATCCGGTCAAAAAAACAATTTCCTCTTAAATAAATAGTCGACATGTTCGAAGTTGATATCCTGTTCAGGTACGTGTGTCTCTATTTCTTTATAATGACCGCAAATCATTAGTGCCTACGTAAAATTTTAAGCAACAGAATGTGACTTTGGAAATAATAATCAGTGTAATAAAATCAATGAAATATATATATGGATCTCTCATTATTTATTTGACTTGACTACCCAATCATATCACTTAGTAAACTATATTTGTTTATTTTTATGAATTATTTTTGGTGTTTAGTTGAATGAATTTTTTTCCTTGCATTTGTGTAGTCTTAAAATCCTGTAAATGATTATTACAGATTAATTGTACACAAAAAATTAAAGTGATTTTGAGATGGTATTTGAATAGAAATTCTTAAAACAGATCTTTTTATCAAAATCAATTGTAACTCATACGCATCAAGAATGATTAGCTTTTAATTGACTATTTATATTCTTGTATGTTTTTTAATATTGCTGTATTGATGATAAATTCAGATTAAATATTTCCAATCGTCTTGATTTTTTTAATAGTAATCGACTAAATAAATAACAATTGTTTGATGTTTTATACAGAAGATATATCATGCATTTTTTTTTTTTTTTTTTTTTCATTTTTAATTTTAAATGAGATATGCTTCAATTCAAAGACAATTTCACAAGAATAAAATTTCAAAAATAAAGTTAGAGCCTTAAAAAGTACACATACTTTTATATGACTTAAACCAAAGTTTGAAAATATTATGATTAAATATAGTTTTTACCTTTAAGGATTTGTATTTGAAATTAATTATTTGTGACTTTCATACTATTTTAGTACTTATTTTGATTGGATCTGAATGTGATATCATATGCTTGTGTATTAAAAATCTTACAGAATTCTAATCTTGTATACGTTCTTCTCAACTATTGTAATTTTGTAAATTTTTAATATAATATCATATTTTCAAGCTATATATACCAACGGGAGTTATCATATGTATTCAATAAATAGGTTTGCAATTTTTTTGATGTATCATCACATATTTTGATAATAATGCCAAATTAAAGAATATTATTTGGTAATTTTGTCATTTTATTTATTATAATTATTTATATTCTTTTGTAAATAAATATTTATTACTTACGATCATTGTGTTTCAATTCATTTCAGTAAATTTTCTTGCAAAAATTTGTAAAAGAATATTATTTTAAATTTAATTTCATATAAATTTTTAATTAAAAAAATTAAATTTCTTGATTGTTGTACATAAATAATAATTAAAATTAATTTAATATTTTTATACAAGAGTTATATATATATATATATATATATTTATACATATATTTATACATACATACATGACATTGATGAAATATATTTTATACATAAAAGAAATAAAAAATTAATTATCTATCTTTGTACATGATTCTTTATTATATATTTATTAAAAATGCTTAATGCATACAAGTAGTGGTTATGAAGGTTGTATGGATGATATTATGTTGACATTTCTCATGAGTTTTTTTAAGTCCTATAACTATCTCATTGTGGCATTGGAGTTTATCAATATGAAAGAGCTTACCATAAATTATGTCATATCAAGAGTTATCCATGAAGTGATCAAGAAGAAAAAACAAAGAGCTTTAAAGTGATGATTTGGTTCTATTTTTAAGACAAGACAAAGGTAGCTATTTTTATCAACATGATAATTCAAAAAACAACATAAAAAATACTATATTTGTAAAAAAATCATATAACTTTACTAAAAATTGCTACAAAGCTAAAAATAGAAATAGAAAGAATGCAAACAATATTAGTGATAATTTTGGTAGAGATAATTATGCTTTCATGCTAAATGAAAGAGCCTCTATAACTGCCATATTTAAGTGGATTATAGATTTGAGTACTATTAAGCACATGATATTGTATAAGTGTTTATTTGATCTTTATGAAGAAATTCTGACAACAAGTATTTGGTTGGAAAATAATGGCATAGTGCAAGCCATTAAAATTGGTTCTATTGTAGTAGAAATCATTGTGAAGAATCAAATGAAGAAAATCAGATTGAAAGAAGTCTTACAGATGCCAAAGATGAAGAATCTCTTTTTGATAAGTAAACTTATATCACATGGTTGTAAGGTTCAATTTTGTATGAGTGGATTTTTTTTTTAAAGACATTAAATCAACAACATGTTGCTAAATACCTAAAAGATAGCAACCTCTACTTCATCAATTATAAGAAGATGAATGAAGTTGAAGTCATGACATTTACTTAATTTCTAAAAAAATAAGACAAGTTTGGAATTTGGCATCAATGACTTTGTCATTTGAATACCAAAAGCATGAACGAACTTCAATCCATAGTAAGTGGCTTAGATCTTAGTCAATTTAGCTACAATTTTCTAATATTTGCTTGTAAAGGTTGTATTCAAGGCAAACAACAAAAGGCTTCATTTCCATGAAGAGTTATAATATATACTACCAAATTATTGAAGATTGTATATTTTGATATTTTTGGATCAATGAATATACCATCAATTAGAAGAATAAGGTACTTTGTTACATTTATTGATGATTTTTAAAAAAGGTGTGGATTTACATCCTCAAAGCCAAGAATGAATATTTTTTAAGATTTAAGGAATTTAAGGCACTTGTAAAAAATAATGTGAATGCAAGATCAAAGTGTTGTGCATAGACAATAGAAGTGAGTATATGTCAAAGAATTTTGATGACTTTTTAAAGATTTAAGATATTGTAAGATAAACCCCTAGTGCTTACATTCTAGAATAAAATGGATTTACTGAAAGAGCAAATTATACCATTATGAAGATGGTAAGGAACATGGTTTAAATACAAAATTTTGGATATGAATATTGGGCAAAAGCCATAGTTACAGTAGTGTATATAAGGAATAGATGTCTTACAAGTACACTCACATTAATGTTTCTACAAAAATCTTAGAGTGGCAAGAAACCTTGAGTTTTATAAATGAAGATTTTTTGAATGCATTGCTTATGCAAAATTACTAGATTGTATAAGGTCCAAACTTAATAAAAAAGATATAAAATATTTATTTATTGGATATTATAAAGGTACCAAAGCATGTAGGCTTATGTATTTAAAAACCAAGAAAATCATCAAGAGTCGTGATGTAGAGTTTTTAGAGCATAAGAGTGCTTTTGAGTACTTGGTATCACGGACTTATATTTACTATGATTGTTATCTATGTGATATGAATAGGTAGAAGTAGATAAAGATAGATTAATTTCATAATATCTTCTAGAAAAGCTTCCTAGAAGCTTGATAGATGCTGCTTTAACTTTACATATGTTTATACTTGATTGGTAGGTTAGAAACTTGGTCAATAAGTTAACTACATGCCATACATGTTGGTAGCTTGTAAAACAAGCTAATTATGTGGTGTCCACATAGAAACTTGCCTTGTAAGTTAAGATACGTATTGTGCAAAGTCAACATGTTTTTGGAGGTCCTATAGAACGTTGCTATGTACCTCCTAGGTAGATAGTATATATAGAGGCAAGAGTGAAGCCTTCTTCACTCTTATCAACTCTTTTCTTGCTTCTAGTCTAGTTTCAAGGGTCTCTAAGTTTCTTATCTTTTAGCAATAGCTATTCTAATTTCTTTCTTAATATACATATTTAGTTATTTCTATTTTGTCATCTTTTTTTGAGAAAAGTTTCACTTTTTTATTTATTTTTATCAAGTTCTTATCCTTGAAAGATTGACAGGAGTGTACTTACAATATCAAAGCTTTGTCTAATCTTGATTAAGAGTGGATTACTTCTTTTTTTTGATAAGACATAAGCATATTAGAAGTTGCAGATTACCCTCTTTTAAACTGATATTCTTCTTAGTATTTTCTTTGTTCTTAAGTCCTCTATTCTATTTGTCTTGAGTGATATTAGACATCTTCTCTTTTCTAAGTGTTATCATAGTAGAACTTGCTAAAATAAAGAGTGCAATGGCACAAATGTAAGAACAATTGAGGGAGTTAATGCTTGCAATGCATCAATTCAATTTACTACCATAAGAAGCAATGAGATTGGGAGGAAGTGAAGATATAGAAATGATTGGAGCTGCTTCAACATCTGCACCAAATCATGTCCCTTCTCTTATCGTAGAACAGCCTTTCAGTGTTAGAAAACTAAGAATTATCCTACCCGAGAAGTTTAATGGCACCAGATCAAAGTTTAGAAGATTTATCAATCAAGTATAACTTGTGATTGAACTTCAATCCCAAAGCTATCCAACTCTAGGATAGCAAGTTAGATTCATTAGTATGCTTCTTTCAGGTTTAGTATTATTATGATTTTTATTTTTTTCTTGAATGATGAAATTCAATATTGGATAATCTAGATACTTTTTTGGCAGAGTTTTGATCCATGTATGGAGAACATGATGTAATTTGTGTCGCAACTAATAAGATCCATATTTTGCAATAAGGTAATCGATCAGTAATGTTGTATGCTTCACAGTTTTGACAACTTGTAAATGATATCAAATAGGATGATACTGCATTTGTTAACCAATTTCTCTACAGATTATAATATGAGGTAAAAAAAATTAATGCTAAACTTACTTGATTCTCAAACATTGAGTGAAACAATTGACTTTGCTGTAAAGTGCAACAATTGTCTTTTTGAATTTTGATGTGAGAATCATATAAGTCGACCTCAACGTTACTATAATTCAATAGCAATACCAACACCTCTTCAATACATACATTCGAAAGTAGAGGATATGTAAATTG